GAGCATGGCAAAGGAACAGTTACTACCTCTTTTTTATCGACTTAGGTCAGTCGCGGCCGAGATACAAACTCAGGACCTCCCGATCACGGAGCGAGCGCTCTACCGACTGAGCTACCGTGAACGGTGTCTTTTGTTCTAATATCGGACTGTCTCAGGTATATCAAAAGCAAATTCTTAAGTACGATATATGCCTCATACAATTATGTATTAAAAATATCAGACAGTTTTCGGCGCTAATGGGCCTCACACTGTCTGATATTTCTTTATACAGAACTGTATTCGGCATATATCCAATACAAAACTGGCCTCAAACTGTCTGATATTTTTTAATACAAAACAGTATTCAGCATATATCCAATACAAAACATTGCTTTTGATTTACCTGTCCGATATTGGAACAAAAGATAAAGGTGTTAATGATCACTGAAGCAATTCTTTCAAGAATGCAGACTTCAATGAAAAGTACTCAGAATTTAGGGATTTGGCTACACTGAAGAAGGAATTTTAAAGAATTTGATAAGGAGTAGTGGGGACAAAATTTTTCTTCATTAAAACATGCACGTAAATTAAAGCAGTTCAACGAATTATCATACAGACAATTTATTCTGGTAAATGATGAATTTGGAATTGAATGTAAAATGCGGATATGAAGAATAGCCACAGAAAATTAGGCAGATGCTGAGGATACACCAGTCAATTTAATTTTTTTATGTTAAGCGAGAGATATACCTTTTTTTTGATGTTCCATTACGGAAAAACAAACATAATCAATAATCCAGGAGTTTTTAAAAATATCTTTCAAAACTTGTTGCAAATCTGTCAGATTAAGTATTAACTTTATCATAATTATGCTAAGCCTAGTTACCTTGATTTTGTAGAGGCATTCTTTCTATGAGAAAAATGAAATCAAACTGTTTGAATGTTGTTCTTTTAAATAGTGTCAAAAGTTTGTGTTTATTTTGAATTTATTCTTGGGGTTTTGAAAATTTTTGTTTTGGTGACCCCCCCGTGCGCCCACAATTTAATTTTCAAAAACTAGAGAAAGGGTTTGAAACACTTCTCCAATTTCAATACGTTTATTAGAAGTTCACCCATTTTTATGTGGGGTATGTGTGTGTTTGTTTTTTATTTGCATTACCTGGTCTGCCGCATGTTCTTCTTCCTGTTACAGTATTTTCGTTGTAATTGAAAGTTCATTGATATTTTTTAACACAAAACAGTATTCAGCATATATCCAATACAAAACATTGCTTTTGATTTACCTGTCCGATATTGGAACAAAAGATAAAGGTGTTAATGATCACTGAAGCAATTCTTTCAAGAATGCAGACTTCAATGAAAAGTACTCAGAATTTAGGGATTTGGCTACACTGAAAAAATTTTAAAGAATTTGATAAGGAGTAGTGGAAAAATTTTTCTTCATTAAAACATATAAATTAAAGCAGTTCAACGAATTATCATACAGACAATTTATTCTGGTAAATGATGAATTTGGAATTGAATGTAAAATGCGGATATGAAGAATAGCCACAGAAAATTAGGCAGATGCTGAGGATACACCAGTCAATTTAATTTTTTTATGTTAAGCGTCTACATATACCTTTGTTTTTGATGTTCCATTACGGAAAAACAAACATAATCAATAATCCAGGAGTTTTTAGGGGAACAATATCTTTCAAAACTTGTTGCAAATCTGTCAGATTAAGTATTAACTTTATCATAATTATGCTAGGCCTAGTTACCTTGATTTTGTAGAGGCATTCTTTCTATGAGAAAAATGAAATCAAACTGTTTGAATGTTGTTCTTTTAAATAGTGTCAAAAGTTTGTGTTTATTTTGAATTTATTCTTGGGGTTTTGAAAATTTTTGTTTTGGTGACCCCCCCGTGTGTTGCCCACAATTTAATTTTCAAAAACTAGAGAAAGGGTTTCACCAATATAAATTTCAATACGTTTATTAGAAGTTCACCCATTTTTATGTGGAGTATGTGTGTGTTTGTTTTTTTTTTGCATTACCTGGTCTGCCGCATGTTCTTCTTCCTGTTACAGTATTTTCGTTGTAATTGAAAGTTCATTTTTCTTTTATTTTAAATCATCATTCTATGTGAGAAACTTAAATTGCTGTTTGTTAAATTATCACACTTTAATTTTTTTTTGCAGTAGCAGTCCAATTTTGAAGGATATCAGTACTAAGACAGTCTGATATTACAATTAATATCAGATTGCTCACTAATATCGGACTGCCAAAGGTAATTTTTTAGACTGCCGTAACAAAGAAATGACATCACAGCAATGTTTTAATTTTTCTTATGGCTTCAACTTTAATTTTGAAATACACATTCAAATTCATTATCTTTATTTGAACTTTCTATATACTCTTTGAGAGTAGTTTCTTTTTATTCCCTGCAAACGACTGACCTTTGCTCAGTCATATACGACTTGGTGCCCCTAAATCCAGTCTTTGCCAAACGGGTTTTTCTGATAAACAAGTGAAAGTGAAAGCAATCTAGTTACCCTCAAGGGTTCTATTAGGTAAAGCGGTTAAGTGGCAAGATTTTGTGTTTATTCTTTGAATAGGAGCTTGCGTCTTCTATGTATCCCATAGGCATCGTTTACTATATTTCAATTAAATGCATTTTTGCATTTGTGTGATATTTTACACACGGACAACAACTTAACGCCTACAGTTTTAAACTTCCATGTTGATGCATAATTTACTTCAGACAGTAAAAAAAGAAGTTTTTGAAATAAATAAGTAATATTTGTCAAAATGTTAATGTCAAATTTGCAGAACTTCTTGTTTTCAAAATTTTACATAGAAATATATTGGAAAAATCTTTGCAAATGAACTTTACCAGCTATACAAGATTTTGACAACATCCATTTTTGCCTGCAAAATAAAAAAAAAACCTCTTTCTAGTCATTTCACGGATACTAATCCAACGCTTACACTTTTAATCTTCCATGTTGAAGCGAAATATTATTTATTCACACTGTATAAAAGAAGTTTTTGAGGTACTTGAATGATTAATATTTGCCAAAATTGGCAGACAATATGTTCATGACCACTGGTTGTATTATACTCTTGGGCAGATTTCAACAATCATCGTTTTTGACTACAAAACCCTGTCACTGGTCATTCGAAACATGAAACACACGGACATAACAAACAGTAATCAAGCTCAAAAAACCATAAAACAAGACAAAATTGAACAGGAGCAAACACAGACCTCTAAAACATCAGAGGTGGGATCATGTGCCATAGAGGTGTTAGCATCCATCGCCGACCGGTCATATCGGCCGTGCGCTCCCTACCATGATCGGGAAATAACGGGACAATCTGTCGACAATTCAATGGTTTAACAATAAGTATTATTAACATATTTAGTGAATATATCGACGATTGGAAAAAGGGTTTATTGGCAAATGAAGTTGTCAGAAAATACAATTTATCATTGAGTCAAATGCCGAGAGACTTTCTTCATACTTATTGTTAGACCATTATTTACACAGTGAATTGACGACGGAATTTTCTGTTATTTCTCGATATTTCCGATCATAAATAGGAGCATACAGCTGGTGGGACCGATCGGCAGGGGGTGTTCCCTACTCTATGGCACCTGAATTTACCTCTGATGCTACGGAGAAGTGTTTGGTTTGTTCCTATTTTTGTATTGTTTAATGGACTTTTGAGCTTGATTACCGTTCATTATATCCATATACGTCATGTTCAATTTCATTGATTTGAAAATGTAAAATTGATAACTGAAACTGCATTCTACTGGGTAGTTACATGATTTTGTGTTTATGAAAGATCGTTGAATACGAGGGTTGTCCGGTAAAATCGTGGACAAAGCGGTTTTTCTCGAAAAATGATGGATGCACTAAGCTGAAATTTTCAGTGAATGTTTATTTATCATATTTAAGAGAATTATATTTTTTTTTGGATAAAATATAGAAATAAATAAAGATTTTATTAGGCTTGAATGTGCATAGTGTAAGGTCCTATGGCGAAAAAATAGAAGGTATTATTAGAGAATACATGAAAATTGTTTTGAAATAAAAAATTTAAATATGTAAGATTAGGGTAGCAATTATCCTTATTCGATTCCATAATGTATTTTGTTGTCTTTTTAAAAAATTCAAGATATTTGGTCAATTTTTGGCAGTTTCCTGAGCATTCGAAATAGGAAAGTGGTGAAAACAACACATGAAAAATGATGTCATTTGATGACGTTACGGCGCACCAGAGAGCAGTTCGCTTTGATTTAGATGATGTAATAACGCTGTAAGAAACTTTCAATGAATACAAAAAAAAAATATACCTAAAATAACTAGATTTTTAGAATAGAAATGAAATAGAAGTTTTCTTAGTAAAGTTTTTTTTCTTGATCGAGCCCAGAGGTAGTACAGAGCATACGGACAAACTGCTAAATTGTAATAGCAAAAGACCCTGTCACTTTTGACCGTCAATATAAGAATGTCTTTTAGTTGAACGATGTTGGAATATTGTCTGTAACTTACTATTAAATCCTCAGAAGATATCACGTTTGTGCCAGATTGTTCCTCAATTGTTTATAATGGCTAAAGTATGGATAAAGCTCCGAAATTGAAGTTGGACTTATTCAACTTTATCTTTAGCGCAAAGATGCAACGTGACGCTGTTTTAGATACTTTGACGTTATCACCCGCGCGCCGTAAGGCGATGCAATACATATCATAAAATCACATTACTCGTTTATTTATGCATATATCTATTTGAAATTTGCTGTGTTTATTCAGAAAATATATACAAAAAAAGTAGTGAAAATTTCAGAACGCATGCAGTGATGATTATTATTCACGCGAGACAACTTGTCCACGATTTTACCGGACAACCCTCGTAGTATGGATTTCCAAAGATTTTCAAATCGAAGACAAAATTTAATTAAAATTCGGAGTATCAATAATTATAAAATTTATGTGGACTATCCATAGAGCAACTAATTTTGTTCTATTTATTGTGAATACATAAAATGTTTCATTACAGAATTGACATGAGACATCCTGAAAAAGAAGACCAATCATAAATTCGGACGTTTGACCAAGATCGAGTTTGAATCCACACATGATCTCCTTCCTGAACCTCTAGAATTGCTGAGTTTGAACCGGTATGATGATAACCACTACCATCTTCCCCCGAAAATATGGCAACTTTTTCAGCCCCATTGATCATAAGAGACGTGCCACAGTGGCTACTCCCAGACGTATAACAGTTCATTGTCCAGTGAAACATGTACAGTCCATGAACAGGTGCGATGAAGATTCCGTCCGTCGGATTGTAGTGGTTTCCAAGGTTAGTGATGACATGAGAGAACTTTAGTATGAACCCAACACTGATTCCTGATTTATCACCGGACCGTGCACTGAAAGCTACCGCTGAAGTGTTCAAAGTAGGGATGCCTGAAGAGAAAAAAGCAATTCTTGAGAGATTAATTATACTATAGTAAACTATGGTTAACTTTAGTAAACTATATTTAGTAAGCTAGAGGATTGAGTATGGTGGATCCATTTCCATTTCCATTTATAGAACCTGGCTATAAGTGTCATAAAATTGGCTGCTGGAATATCAAAATTCAGAAACTATTTTTTTTCATTAGCGTTGGTAAATATATCACTCTAAACAAGCCACTATTGAATTTTTTTTTCTATGGAGTGAATACAATAAATTTTATTGATGTCATATGTCTATTCCTAAAAACCTTTTAAAACTCTGACAACTCTGACAACCGAAAAAGATTGTTTGATTGAAAAGTAAAAAACAAACTGCACAGCAACATGTTGTTGCCTTTTTATTCATTTATGCAATTCAACTTACTATACCCAATGTAACTTCCGTCAGCCATACCATGATTGTTAGAAATTTATACTGACGGCAAATTTGCAAAAAAGATGTTTATAACTCTAATGCATCGTTTGGCACAACAAAATTTTATCACAAAATTGTCATCATCAAAATGCACGTTTTTTTTGGCTTTTTGTAACTTTCCCCACGTGACTCCATTCCTTTCATGGTTGAGTAGTTTTGACCAGCGATTTTAGTGAAAAGTAACAAAAATACCCATCTGACCAATTTTCAGAATTTTTGGCAACAAAGTCAAAATATTTCCGCATATTATGTTTTCATGCGTTTCTTTTTCCTTTCAGAATATACTCAGCTCGTACGCTTCAATCCCAAAAATTAAATTGGACACGTTTTTAACACTAAGGGTCATGTAACTAAACAACTAAAGATAATAAGAAAAGTGCTTAATATTTTTCTAAAGTTTTTATATTTTTCAATTTCGTGTTTACGTTGTTCACGTTAACTTAAGTATTTTTTTTTATGTCATTTTATGACAGACATATGGCCAAGTACTGTAATTCATGGAGGTAATATTCGTGGGTAGTCAAACTTGTACTGGCTTGTTATGCGGGTAACTCATCAATTAAAAAAGATTCTATGAAAGATTCTATGAACAGATGATTTGCTAAAGGTATATGGATCGGTGGTGACCCACAAAATTCAAAAACATTGTTCCCCAGCAAACAATAATGGTTTCACAGTAATTCTTAGTCTAAATTTTAAGAAAAAAATAGTGGCATCTCTTAGTATGAAATATGTAAGCCAAAATAAGTCCCAATAGGTTGGTTATTTTCCCGATTTGTGATAAACTGGCTTTCGTATAGAATTTTCCATGAATTATTGAACAGATTATATGGTACCAAACATGTTTAATTCTAGTTCGTGTCGACATATACATCGAAGTAACTATTGTTAATTGATAATACCTCGTCGATATATCAAACATAATATAAATTTATTCAGACTCATGCAATTAGAGGGTTTCGTCATAATAAACAGTATATACTAATATGTCTAGGTACTAATAAGTCAGCATTGCTTTCGATAATTTAATAAGACTTACCCTTGTGATGAATCTTTAATGCGTTAATGTTTGAGATGTTAAAATTGTCTTTCCCAGTCAGGAATCTCCCAATAAACCGTTCTAATAAGTTCACCCTATTCTGCAGGTCGGAAAGGATGATTCGATCCGAATTATTTGTGGTCTTTTGACTGTAAGTAAAACCTAAGGACACAAAAATAATTCCGAGTTGTATTTCACTATACATGGTCATATATGTTATGAAATAAATGAATTTGTAAGTGCTACTTATACCTTTCATTCTGAAGTGATTGGAGGGAGTGGGACGTCCATAAATGAAAACAGGGAATCTTATTGGTTTTGGATCCAGGGGACGGATATTTTTCAATGAGTTTTGTATTTATACTAATTGTAAGAAGATCTAAACCATAAAGGTTCATATTAAGCAACTTTATTTTTGGTATATAAATGTATTTTACTAGTCTTGTATGTAAATCCGCTTTTTACTCCTATTTACCAAAACAGCTTTTTACAAATAAAACACCCTCGTTGCTTCTCTTAGTAACATATAGATTTTTATAATTTATTTTAAAAAGTCATAGAGGGCGTCGATACAAAAAATATACTTCTGAAATAAATTCAAAGCAACATAACTTTCTTTTAACAAAAGATAAATAAATAATTGTAAAATTTATTTTTCAGACTTTTTGTAGTTATTGTAGCTGAGGGTTTTTTAAAGTTATATTTCATGGGAATAAGTACAAATAGGACAACATATCAATTTAATTACCAAGTATACAAGACAGAAGTTTAAAAAAAAATGCAATATTATTATGAAAATTAATCTCTGAGCATTGTAAAAAGATTCACTTTATAATTATCTCAATAGAGACTTATATACATAAATGCTGATAAGTGCATTTAGAACAATCTAAAAAAAAATTCAGTTTCAATAAGTGAGTACAGAAAATTCAAATTATTTGAAATATGGACATAGCAAACGTTATGGGAATACATATCATGCAATGTTTTATTTATGTAAATGAAATTACTTATAATCGTATAATGGCTATACAAATACATATGTAGTGATTATTTGATAAAACCGCACATATTTCAAACATAACGTTGAGAAAATATGACTAACACTACTTTATACAATGAAAATCCACTTGTGTGTCTAACATGACATTTGGCATTTGGGTGGATATTATAAGACCACTTTCCACATTTTTGATTAGCATTAATTAAAAAAACAAAGAACAAAATGTTCTAATTAAAAAAAGTAGTTGACATTGTGTTTCAACCATTTCTTTTTCTCTTTATGGCCAAGAAAGAAGACTCAATTGTGCAAAAATGTTAAGTAATATCCAAAATGTAACGTAATAGAGGGCTCTGTGGCAACACACTTTGAAAAAATTACGCACTTTGAAAAATTTTTTCAAAGTGCGTTAAAATTGGGACAAAATCAACGAGTTGGTCCCAAATTTAACGCACTTTGAAAAAAAATTTTCAAAGTGCGTTAAGGGTCTACATCAATATATTTTACCATGGAGACACTTAACGCACTTTGAAAAAAAATCATATTTTAGTCATGAAAAGATTTTATTTGTTATTTATCTTTCAAAAAACTAAGCCAAACCCTAACCTCAAAAATGAATTGATTTACTCCCGTCGAAAAGAGGAGAAGACGGGTATAAGATCCCTTAGTCCAAATCTGTATCTTCCCAATACATAGGTGTCGGTAACAAACGGGGAAGGGGAGCAATAAACCTAAAAAGGGTACGCTGCATTTTCAATGCTTATACGATATATATATCTTTCAAAAATAAGTGAGGGGCTTAGCCCGCCATCCCCTCCCCTGGCCCTTCGCCCAGTCTCGATGTCTATGCTATACTCAAAGCATTCATATAATTATGTATTTGCATGACTGGTATGACGTTGATAACTTTCAATAATAAATGAGTTAATTAAAACAGATGAAAACTAGAAATTTTTAAGTACAGTAAAACGTATGAGAGAGGAAGAATTTTCATAGTTTTGAACAATCAAATTGGCCCCTTTCTATTATGATAAATGCTAAGTTGCTGGAAGCTGTCCTCTGTTAGTGCCCCCTATACACCTTTACATCTACTTATCAAAGACTAGAATTAAAAAAAGCAAGAGGCCCACGGGCCTTATAGGTCACCTGAGTATCATGTAACAACAGGAGGAAAGGAAAAGATTTTCAAAGAATTAATGTATTTTTACTATATAATCAATAGAGAAACGAATAAGTTTACTCAGGTGACCTAAAAAGAAGAAGAAACGAATTAATGAACTTAAACAATCGTCACTCTTTTTTTCAAGACCCTTTAATTTTCCCTTTTATTTTATCAAAACCTTAAATATTTAAAACGTCTATATCTCAGGTCCTACAGTGACTTTATCATAAAAAAGTTATCAAACCAGGATCTGTTATTTACCATACCGATTATTTGAAGGAATATTGATCAATCTTTACTTTTTTTTTCAAAGAGCGTTAATATGGTCGATATTTTTTTTCAAAGTGCGTTAGCTTGGTCCCAAATTTTAACGCACTTTGAAATTTTTTTTCAAAGTGCGTATTTTTTCAAAGTGCGTTGTAACAGGGCTCTCCAAAATACTAAATAAAGTACAAACCAATAATTGATCATGACGTCGTTGACAAAGCATAAAAAACTGTAGGTAAAGATATTTGGCCGCTTGATATTTATATCATAACATAATAAGATATACACAAATACATGTACATGTAAGTCAATCTATCGGAACTTATTGTCAATGTCTTACCTGGATCCAGAGGAAAGTTTAATTTAATTGTGACAAGATAGAATGTTATTACACTTAAGATAATTACGTTTAATGAAACGAATGATTTAAAGAGGAAAGTTTTATTGGATAGAAAGGAGCAGTATTCAATTTCAAAACTCCATCAAACTTTACTATACAAACATAGCCCTTTCATGAGGTCGATCCATAGATATATCGATTTCACAGAAAAGTATATCGACCAAGAACAAAGTCGATATGCTTTTCTGTAAAGTCGATATATCTTTGGATTGACCGAATGAAAAGACTATAGTATATAATTTTTTTTTCTTCAGATAAACAAATCAAATTTAATTTTCTATAAATAATAAAGTTTTTGCCTCTTTTAACATTTGGACACTTAACATCGAAACAAAATATGCTGTTTTAATGGCATTGTGTATCTTTTATACGTAATTAATAATTTAGGGAATGTTAGAAATTGAAATGCTAAATTTGCTTATGACTTTTTGTATAAAATTTTGTTTAATATATGAAACACCAATGTTATTAATGTACGTACAGTAGATCCACACTCAGGGCATTGTTACGCCTTATTCCCAGTATCTCGTCACAATTACAAAGAGGAGTTGGTGTATCTGTTTTGAGAAAGTACGTGTCTATCAGAGTTTTTTAAAGTTTATAATTAGAAAGTCCACATTTATATACTTTGACACGTGATGCCATATGAACCAATGGCAAATCTCGTTACAAAATATGAAAATAATATAAAACAAGAGCAGACACGGAGGTGGGATCAGGTGCCATGGAGAAGTGAGCATCCCCTTCGACCGGTCACATCCGCCGAGTGCTCCCTGCCATGATCGGGAAATAACGGAAAATTCGTCGTCAATTCAGTGTACATATAATGGACAAACAAATAGTATGAAAAACCTTAGTTAGCATTTGACTACATGATAAATTGTATTTGCTTATTTACTTCATTTTAGAAACTGTACATACGTAGAGCATGCTATTGCGTATCGTATCAACTAAAACACAAGACACATTCATATTTCAGAAGTCCATTGAAACAATACTGTAAAATCATTTATTTTCGTGAGGTCAAATCTTCGTGGTTTGACGAAAATCTCTTGGTTCGTGGGGATTTGATTTCGAAGATGAAGGATTAATGAGTACTTATGTATGTAACACTTTACATTTCGTTGTGGACGTGAATTCGTGGGTCTTGTCATACCTCGAAAACAACGAAAATTAAACCCCCATGAAAATTTGTGATGTCACAGTAGTTTGCATTCATCACTAACCAAAAAAGGTCGGTGATGCGTTCAGGTCCAATGGAGAAATACGTATCCCCTTAAATTGTCAAATAGTCACACCTGTCGGATATTTCTTGACATGATCGGACAAACGAAAAATGCATGCAAAAGTGAAAAAAAAATGCAAAATCTTGGTCATGAAAGAAAACCTCTTCGAAGCCACCAGTAAGGGAATTATATATATTGATGACGTATTATTATTCAACGCTAGTTATTTCTATTTACATTTCGAAACGATTTCCTGGTCACCCATACTAAAATGTTCGGAACCTTTTATTTTTCGGTGTTCTGCAAATTATAAAACCCGATGAGTTCAGAGTAGCTCTAGATCTGGCAGTGGCTCTGGCGAGAGTTAGCGAGACTTCAGCGAGAGAGGGTAAATTATTCACGGAAATGTGGCTAGGAAGTGACAAGCACGTGGAGGCATTGTAAACAGAAATGTTATGTTGTGTTTCAGTTTTCACAACCCTAGAATCAGCTGATGTCTGTAGAAATGTATTTATTTTTTCGGAGAGCACACATGAAGTTGAGAAGAAAATATTGCATGGACTTCTTACATACATGTACATGGTCTATTGTCTCATACGGTTTGAGTTTGTTTCTACTTCTATTTCAATGCACTCGGCTGTTGTGATGTCAGGCATATCGCATATGCAAAAATCCTGTATTTATTACTAAGTATGTAATGTACATATTATTCACCAATAAAGGGCCCTCAGGGGCATATACAATTGTTATGATATGATTACGATGTTGCACATCATCTTCTGTTAATTAGCTGTCCATACAGCTACCAGTCATGTGACAATAATTTGGAATTTCCCACTTTTTCCCACTTCTTAAAATATAATTTTCAAAGAAAATATCGGGGGTATTAAAAAGTTATATGATAAAAAAATATGATGCCATTGATAATTAATTGAATTAAATATTTAATTTCTTTAAATATACATGGAATTTATATTTCAAAACATGAAACTTCAAATAAAGCTTTACAAAATTACTGTACTTCTAGGCCAATCTTGAGAAAGAGAAATTTTTTACATCATTTTGCAATACAACTTAGGCACGCCTAGATAGATGTGGTCTTAATCAACAACAAATAAATTTCCATGTCAAATAATGCAATCTTTTTGTC